GCTGCTTTTCTTCTTGCAAATGGATATGTGGCCTTGAATACATTTTGTTAAAAAATTCTCTTGAGAATAATAGACATCCTTTCAGGAGAATGATGCAGCATAAATGGAAGCTGGTGGGAATATGTAATGCTGTTCAGTGAGTGCTGGAATTGTGGTGTCAAGCATGATAAAGGCATTTAGTTTTCCAATTTTGAGTTTCAGATGCTTGTAGTAAAACTTCTCATATTTTAAATTGATTTGTTAGAAGTAAGTATATGATTTGGCAGGGGATATGAAATTTATTAAACTGATGTCTATTTTAAGCACAATGTCTGGGAGCTTCTGGCGGTGATGCCTTAGTGAAAGGGTGAAGGGAGAGCGGTCTTCATCTCTGGATCCCGTTTTTTCACTTTTGGGGACCCTTCAGGGCGTGAGGAGCCTGGAGAGCCAAGCGGAGGAGAGGGGAAGCCTGGAAGACGGCAAGGCGAAACGCGATTGCCAGCCGGCAAGAAGGGAAACCCCTGAAAACCCGAAGTGAAAGTGTCTGTCATTTTATTATGGCAGACCCGAGGCCATGGCTGAACCATGAATGAGGAGGAAGTGAGAAGATTATCAACAGAAAGTGTCATTGAAGTTAAAATCCCAAAGTTACATCCGTGATGATTTGCCAAAAGTACGTTTGAACTTGTTTCCGAGGGAAAAAAAGCTCCAATGAGGGGGGATAACCCCATAGTACAGGCGGCGAGACAGTAAGAAAGAGCTGTGATTCAGCACTTTTTACAAATGGAAAGAGACTGAAGGAGACGGGGTATATGTTGGAAGTGAATAGTTCTAGGAAGCTGAAAGGTGGAGATTGAAATAAGACAAGAACTGGTGGGAGAAGAAGAAAATCCAGGGAAGCCAGAGGAGGAGGTGGCGAAAAGAAGGTGATAAGGGAGAGACGATTGACTTCTCTCTGCTTCTTGGACGGAGGGCGATTATGAGACCCATGTGGCGAGCGGAGAAGGAGAAAGTGAAATCAAATCGGGATGTGAGAGCAATACGAAGGAAAGAAAAGAAAGTCTTGGAAGGAGGAGGTGAAGTGGAAGTGGAGAGACGTTGAAAGGATCAGAAGGAAAGTCGGGACGACGGAGGTGAGAAAGGCGAGGCATGGAGAAAAGAGTGACTGAGCAATTTTCAAGCGGAAGGAGATGGCAGGACATTAATGGGAGCGGAGAAGAAGACAATTTGGCAGAGAGTGGGCTGAAAGAGATGATGAAGGAGGATTGGAAAGAAACGGAGAAGGTACGAGTGGACTTATAAAGAGAGAGACTTGGAGGGAGTAGTAGAAAGACAAAGCGGAAGAGAGAAGAGAGTGGAAAACGGTTTGGACTGAGATGGTAAGATTGAGGAGAAAAGAAAAGGGAAACTGAGTGATATATGTGAACTGTAAACTTTAAAATAGGCTGGTATTGAAATATAAGTTTGATTTATATGATTAACATGATCTGTATGACTCGTATGATTTGAATGTATTTGTCTATTAGAGCACTGTCTTAAGGTGATTGTGGTTATAAGAAATCAAAAAGGAAGCTTTTTCCTTCTTTAGTTTGAAATAACTTGATGGTATAGTTATCTTGACTAAATACGGATTATTGGGTTAAGGAACATAGTGATAAATAATCTTAGAGTAGGATATTAAGAGTTTAAGAAGAATATATATTGTTGTGAGTATAGAGAACCTAAACCTTGACCCCTCTTTTATTGTATAATGGAGAAACTACAATACATTGTGTATAGAAAGAAATAGAAAAGGGGTGCTTGAGTAAGATATATAGAGATACATGCAGATATAGATCTTTCAATTGACAAATACCTGGCTACTGGATTATTGCTCTAAGTTAAAAGTGAATTAAGAAAGTAAAAGGTGGGGGGGGGCTTTTTTGTCTTTCCTTCTCTATTGGGGTGATATTTGAGGTTATAATTACTTTGATTAAGTATTGCGTATTGAATTAAGGAAATTGGTGATAAATAAGTTTTGATTACAATATTAAGAGATTAAGGGGAGTGTATATCTAGGTGATTATATGTAAACAGAAATTAGATTCCCCCTTTTATTATAGATAAAAGGAAAAAAGAATAAATTTAATACTTTGTGCATAAGGAAAGGCAGGAGGGCTTTGTCCGAGTAGGATATTGTTAGATATGTAGTGATATTGACTTTGAGATAGAGAAAGGGATAATAAGTGGTGCTAATTCTGTATAATTAGATTAAAGAGATTTGAAAAGAAGAACAAATTGAAAGTAAGAGATTAGTTTAAAATATATTGTAAAGGAGATAATAAAATAAGTTGAAATAAATAGAGCTTGAAAATAAGACAAGTGCCATGACATCAGCCTGGAGAACAGCAAAGAAGACAACAATCAGTCGAACATTGATAATTACATCACCTGCAGGTCAAAAGGTGATTGAGGGGATGTCAGGGGCAGAAAAACAAACTGTGGCCAATATGCAAACAATACAGGCTTCGTTAATGACCACTCAAGAAACTATGCTTAAAATGCAAGAACAGAAACGCAAGAGAATATTTCGCAAAATCATATGGAATTGAAAGGCAATATTAATAAATTAGAAGACAAATTTGATACTATACAGCAAACAATGCAAAAGAATGAGCAGAAACTAGAAGAGGTGGAACTTAGAACGGTACAAAATGAAAAGAAACTGGAACTAATGGACAACAGGATGATGACAATAAACAAAAGATTAGAAGAACAGATTATACACCTAGAGATGGACCGCGCTGCCTATTACTTGAGGTTTCAAAATATCATTGAAAGTAGAGATGAAGATCTGAATGTGCTTATGGCAGAATTATTTGCACCAGCTTTACAAGGGGAGACCTGAGAGATCCTGCTAGAAATCAACGAGGCCTATAGAGTTCAAATGAGTTACGCTCAATGTAACAGGTTACCCAGGGAAGTCCACATGCGATTTGCCAGGAAACAAGTATGTGACATAATATACAAGATAACGCGAGACGAACCATTCATTTATAAAGATAAAGAAGTGTAAACTCTGAAACAGGTTCCCAAGAAGGTGCGTGAACAGAAAAAAGACTCTAAGTTTTTGGCAACACAACTCACCCAGAAGAACATAATGTTTCAATGGTTAATTCCAGAAGGCTTGTTGGTAACATGGCAGGAAAAGAGGATCAGGATAGATAACTTAGACAAGGCGCAAGATTTCTATGAGTAGATTGGAGGAACAGAAGAAGAAAGCAGCGGTAGAGAGGAGCTAGAGACAGAAAGCCAAGAACAACAACAACAGCAAGATATAGGAGGCCTAGAACAAGAAGAAGAGAACAAGGAGGAGAACATTAAGAACACGCCCGCAACGAGAGACTAGAATTAACAGAAGACAGATAATATCCCACGAGTAGAAAGACAGAAACAGAAATGAAGCTATTATCGTTAAACAAAAATGGTCTAAACTCACCCATTAAAAGGAAACAGATACTATCTAGATTAGACAAACAGAAATTAGAAATAGTATGCCTGCAAGAAGTTCATATTAAAAAACAATTTTGGAAATGTTTAGAATATCCTAAATTAGGTTATTTGTAGCCCTGGCAGATCAAAAACAGAAAGGGATAGCGGTATATGTTAAAAAAGAAATTAAGGCAGTAGAAAAATACGTAGACCCACAAGGGAGAATTTTGATATTTGAACTAGAATTAGGGTACAAGTCAATGTTATTAGTTACAGTTTATGCGCCGAATGACAACCAAAGTCAATAAAGATTTACATGAGAGAATCATTGAGATGGGACAAGATAATGTATGCATTGTGGGAGATCTTAATGCCGTAGTAGATATAAGGAAGGATTATTTTAGTAATGCAAAGAACAAAAGAAAAGGAAAATTTTGCCCAGATCCTTTTTCAATATGACACAGGAACTAAATTTGATAGATCAATGGAGGAGAATAAATTTGGGGAGAAAAGAATTCACGTTCTACTCTAACCCACACAAATCGTGGTCTAGATTAGACATGGCGTGGATGAACGCAGAACTAGGATACCAACTAGATTCAATAGAGATTATGACAAATGTATGATCATAACCCATTAAAAATAATTTGGAAAGGAAGGAAAAGGAAGAGTAGAAGGTGGATACTTAATCCCCAAATTTTAAAGGAGAAAGATTTTGTAGAGAAAATTAAGAAAGAAATGGAACTTTTTTTTAAGGAAAATACAGTGGAGCAAACATCATTACGGAATATATGGGATACAGCAAAGGCAGTCTTGAAGGGGCTGGTAACAGCATATACAGCGAAAAGGAATAAGGAAAGATGGCAAAATCAGGATAAATTACAGGAGGAGGTTAAAGACCTAGAAAGTAGAAAAAAAACACAGGATAAAAAAGTAGAAAAAAAACACAGGATGAAAAAATGAGAGAGATGATTCTTACTAGGCATAAATTGAACATTATAAATCAGGAAGAGAGAGTTAAAGAGATGAAAAGGGCAAAACAGATTTTTTTGAACATGCAAATAAACCAGAGAGGTGGTTAGCCCATAAATTAAGATTAGAAAGAGAAAGAAGGCTGATACAAGAATTGGAGGATGATGATGGAAAATTAGAATATCGAATGACTGAGAAAAAGAAAATAGTACAAAAATATTTCGAACAACTATATAGGGAGGATGGAATAAACCCTGAGAATATAGAACAATATTTGAAAAGGAAAGGTCTCCCAGAAATTAAAGAGGAACAGAAAGAGATATTAAATAAAGAAATAATAATCATGGAATTGAAAAGGGTGGTTGAAAGGCAGAAAAATAATAAGACGCCAGGGCCGGATGGTCTTCCAGCAGAACTATATAAGTGTATTTATGAATGTCTTGAACCAGTGATGTTAGATGTGTACAATGAGGTATTAGACTTTGCCAAATTACCCGATTCATGGAGAGATGCGAATATCTCACTAATTCCTAAAGAAGATTTAGATCACAAACAGATTAAAAATTATAGACCAATCTCACTCCTGAACGCAGACTATAAAATATTTGCAACAATAATGTCGGAAAGATTAAAAATTATATTAAATGAACTTATTCATATTGACCAGAACGGCTTTCTACCTTCTGGACAGATAAGGAACAATACAAGGATAGTATTAAATGTATTAGAATACTATGAGGCCCACCCGGGAAAGCAGGCAGCGTTGATTTTCTTGGATGCTCAGAAGGCCTTCGACAATCTCAGCTGGCAGTTCTTGATCCAACAGGTCGAAAACATGGGATTTGGATTTAAATTCAAGAAAATGATTGGCACAATTTATTCGAACCAAAAAGCTAGGGTAATTATAAATGGGGAGATTACTGAAAACTTTAAGATTATGAAAGGTGTTAGGCAGGGATGTCCAATGTCGCCTCTGCTTTTTATCTTGACCATCGAAGTGCTTTTAAATCAGATTAGACAAAGAAAGGAGATAACTGGACTGAAGAGCAAAAAAGAAGAATATAAAGTACAGGCATTTGCTTAGTGTTTTTTGTGGAAGATCCAATGGAGTCAGGGACTTATCTAATTCAAGAATTAGAAGAATATGGGGCGGTAGCAGGACTAAAAATTAATAAAGGTAAAACAAAAGTAATAACCAAAAACTTGATAGAAAGTAAAAAAAAAAAAAAGAATTGGAAAGGAAATTGGAAGGAAATTACAAAGTGTCAAAAAACTTAAATATCTAGGAATTTGGTTAACAGGAAGATGCTCTTCCATAAAAGAGGATAATTATATGAAATTACTTTTACAGATAAAGAAAGACCTGGCCAATTGGGGAAAATTACAACTATCACTATTAGGCCGAATAGCAGCCATAAAAATGAACATACTACCGAAAATATTATACTATTTTCAAACAATACCTATAAAATTGGATAAGAAATTTTTTCAGTAATTAGATAGGACAGTAATGAAATTTATATGGATGGGGGGAAAAGCACGAATAAAATTGAAAACGTTACAAGATAGTAGAACCAGAGGTGGCCTTGGACTCCCAAAATGGAAAACATATTATCAAGCAACCAATTTTACTATGGGTTAAGGAGTGGATAAACTTAAAAAATAAAAGAATGCTGCAAACAAAAGAAAGGAACATTTTTCCGTATGTGGTGGCAATGTATAGAGCTCAAAAAATACTGGAAGAAAATACAGAGATGGCTTTTTGAGATTACAAAATATAAATTGAAATTGGAACCTGAAATATTTTTATTAGGTATGATTAAAGGGAATTTGAGTAAAGATAAAAGATACCTTATTGTACACATCTTAACTGCAGCAAGAATCACGTTAGCACAAAATTGGAAGAGATAAAATACCACCAGATGAAGTTTTGATTCAGAAAATAATGGACTGTGCTGAACTAGATAAATTCACTAATGGAACTGAAAGGCAAAGAGGATCGAGAATACTATGCGACATGGGAGAGAGAAGTGGTATGAATGGGTGAAGGATAAGGATAAAAATAATGTATAGTCACAAAATAAGAAACATGTATATACAATGACACAATAACTGTTAATGGAAATGAGATTTTTGTATTTTTTGTTTTTAAAGAATAAAAATTAAAAAAAAAATAAGCACAATTTCTGTTTTTTAAAATGTTTTCCTATAGCTCAAGCTTTTATTAGGAAAAAAGAATAGAGTTTCTTGGGAATCTCTCTTCCCTCTCTGGAAATAGAGTCTGCTTTTGTAATTTACTATAAAAGAACAAACAAAATTTTTGTCTGGCTTTATCAGGCAACCGTATCTTCTATTTAAAAGCATAGTTGTTTATAAGTACAGGTCAAATGCATTTATGTGTTTCTTCCCCAGATCTAAAAGAACTCAGGCTGAAACAGTTAAATTAAAGCGGATTCAAAAGCAGCTCCAAGCTTTAGACGACATGGTATCTGCTGATATTGGGATCCTAAGAAATAGGATTGACCAGGCAAGCTTGGAATATTCATGTGCTCGGTAAGGACTAAAAATTGAGGAATAATGTCAACTTATTACTATTTTTCTTCCTAATAGTAGTATTGTTTGATTTACTACCTTAAATTACAGTTTTTTCTTAACCAAAAAAATTATTTCATCAGCATCTGCTTTCATTATCTTCAAATTTATTTCCTGCTGTAATGCTCGTTAGCTTTGCCCTGTTGATATATTTTGCTAATATACCCTGTGGGCACAAGTAATTCAAAAAAATGACATAATGCATCACTGTCCAGTGAAAACCTAAATAAAATTGAAGAAAGCTGTGTTGATCACAGGTCTAATTTCTTTGCATTATGGTTGAAATTGGGTCTTTTAAAGTTATTCAATAGATGTTGAAATAATTCAATTACTCTCTGATAATTGTAATACTGAAATATGACTACTTTCAAATATCTTTAGGTTTTTATGTCTTGATTTGTAATATGCAAACTGCCAATTTAAAAAATTGGCTTCCAGTAAGAGATACAGCAAGCAAACAAGAAATGGAGTATGCCAATTGCAGCAATACCAATGCAAAATTCTGCCCCTGGCAGTACTTTCTACCTCTCAGTAACCATTCAGGTTTTTATAACAGAGTGGCTAAAAGGATGTCAGACTTTTAAAAGTGCGAGTCTTCTACTGAAGCTCAATGGAAATCCCACTATCCCATCCCTGCTACTATTGGCCTTTCCTCTGTTAGCTTTGCTATTAATTTGATGCAAGCCTTTCTCCGACCTTGTTAGAATTATTCCTGCTAAAACACTGTAAAAGTAAACATAAATTATTTTTTTCAGAAAGCGTTATGATAAAGCAGAATCAGAATATGTGACTGCAAAGCTGGATCTCCAAAAGAAAACAGAAGTGAAAGAACAACTTGCAGAGCACTTGAGCACAATCATACAGCAAAATGAACTCCGAAAGGCAAAGAAATTGGAGGAGTTAATGAAAGAGCTGGAAGTAGAAGCTGATGAAGAGAACCTGGAACTGGAGGTAGAAGTAGAGCAAATGTTGCAACAGCAGGAAACAGAAGCTAGAAGGCAAGAGATTGAGACACAAAAGCTTGCCCAAGTTGATGTGCAGTGTACAGATTCCCAGACTTTAAGTAAAGGACATGAAAATGACAACTTTAGAAACATTAATGGAGCAGCTTAGAAGTTCCCATACAGATGACCAAAGTCACACAGTAAACTCTGTTTCTGAAAGAAATTATGATTCATCCAGAACATGTCTGATAACATTATTTTTGATATTTGGAGTAATAAGGAGCACTGGCATATAATGACAAGAAGCCTCTGAATCTGTGCAGTTTTCTAGTCTGTATTATTATCAGAGTACAAGTGCATATGCGTGTGTATTATATGTACAGATTATCTCTCTTTCCTGCTTACTGTCTTCCTTTTCACTGAGAAACCTGCATGGGATCCCTTATGAAGGGGAAAGGATAATGTTACCTACATAATATTTAAAGTTCAAAGCATCATGTCAGTAGGAATAAGGAATTGTGTATATCTTACATGAAATTATCATTAAATCCTACATTATTTGCTTAGATACACACTATTAAGTAACTCATTTTTCAGTGCTCATAAATGAATAGAAAAGGACAAGGTTGAGCAAATCAGGAGAAAATCTGAAAATATTTTCTATTCTTGTTAGTGATTCTGTAAAAAAATGGTTGGGCCATTAATTAGTTATGTTTATACCTAATTTATAATTAGGCATACCTAATTATTGAGCAATAAAAAGGGAAATACCTTCCAATATTTTAAATATATTATTATTGAAATATAAATAACCATTCAATAAATGGATATCAAAACACTTTTAAACTCATATCTGGATTCTCAAGATTCTCTAGTGATTTCATTATTTCACCTTTTTATTTTATTCATTTTTGCATGTTTCTCTACCATTCATGTATTGTTGAAGCGCTAATCCTTTGTCCTTGTATAATCAGCACATGCCAAATTTCAATAAAAATGTTCCCATTTTTAAAAATTGGATTTTTCTTGTATTGCCAACAATTATTGGACTTCAGAGTTACATCAAAGACTTGTCATGTGCACTAAAATGATTTCATAGAAAATTGTTAATATTCTTGTTTTTAAAAATGAAAATGTTGTGGTTAAGAATTGTAAAGGCAAATACAGTATAGCTTTTTTTGTATTACCTGTATCTTCTCTATGCCTAGCCATAGCCTAGCCGTAAAACAAATTAATTCATGTTAAGAGCCATTGCAGTTGTTACCAGTTTATTTCCAAAGTGAAAAAGTCACATCGACTAATTTGGTATTAGATGAATATTTGATAGGTCAAGCTTACTTATATGCTGTAGTGTCATCAGAGAAATTAAACAAGGCAAGCTTTTTAGGGCGAAGGCAGATAATACTTTTGAGGACAAGAAAGATTATTTGAAAGCACATCACTTTTGACAAACTTGTTTCTTTTATTTGTACTATGGTAAACTATGAAAAGTAGTTGAATGTTCTTATGACTCAGAAAAAAGTGGCAGTGCCAAAGAGAGTCACTCTGAGGTCGTACTAGGACCATTAAAAAAAAATCAGACCATTGTGTCCACCACCTTAACTTTTTGACCATACCTTGTGGACACCACATTCAACTAGCATCCATAAAAGGGCCAATCTATTCCAATACCTTACTGATAGGCAGATTCAGCCATTTATCTTCTGGAAGTTCCAAAGTGTCCAGACCAATACCTAAGCAGAATCAGAGTAGATATATTCAGGATTTACTTGATTATGGCACCCATAGAAGAAAAGGGAATAAATATAAGCACAAAAATAAATGAACAATAATGTCTTTGCTAAGCCTTCCTCATTAAATCTGATGTAGCTCTAATTATATTAATTTATATCGGATGGAGACTACAAGATTCAAATAACACCTACATGGTAGAAAAGTTATTTTTATATATTTAATTTATATACCCACCCATACGTGATGCAAAAAAATCTAACACTATGTTGCCATTTAGTGATTATCTTACTTTTGCAGCCTGGATCTAGGAGCCCTAATTAATTTTAATGTTTGTTAAGCCTCCCAGAGTTATCTCTAGGTGAGATGGGTGGCAAACAAGTCTAATAAATAAAAATTTGGAACAGAGTGCTTTAGAAACAAATCCTTTCCGTTGAAAGAAAGTGTTTATTTTGAAGGCAAAGCAGCCCATGGGTATGACCAATTAAGACTCTAGTAGTATGTTACAGAGAAAGGCAAATTTCTCTCGTTTTAATGCCCTAAGTAAAGGTTCCCCTCACACATACACGTGCTAGTCGTTTCCGACTCTAAGGGGCGGTGCTAATCTCCATTACAAAGCCGAAGAGCCAGCGTTGTCTGAAGACATCTCCGTGATCATGTGGCCGGCATGTCTAAACTAGGCAAAGTCATATCCTGGCATCGCCTGTGGCTTTTGTTAGGAATTTCAAAAGGGTACCCTCTTGTATCACAATTTTCAGCCTGGACATTTTATCTCAGACATTTTTATCCTATTTATACAATAAGTAATTTTAATTACATCACACCCATTGCTTGTGATATGGCAACAATTCTGCAAAATTTTATTAAACCCTTGAGCAGGCACACTGGCTCACACTTTCGCTTTCACTTTTTTCACTTTCACTTTTTTATTGTGTTTTCAGAAGGCTCTTTAATTTTTGTGTCCCCTTAGGCCTTAGATAGAGTCAACCCTACTTAACAATGACCCACCCAACTCACTATACTATCACAAAAACTTTTATGGACTGCAATCCATTCTTTCTCAGTCCACCCATCTTACAGAGTTGTTGCTGTGGGGAGAAATAAGAGGGAGCACTAAAGATCCATTTTGTGAACTTCTATATGAAAAATGGGACACATATCTCATAATCAAAGGAAGAAAGTTTCTTTATTTCATGTTATTTCAAACTGGTCAGAGAATCCTCAAATGACAGCCATCCCTTTCTGACTGCAGTGCCCTGGTGACTGACAAGGAATATGCTGAAAGGTAGTAAATTGGAGAGGGGAACCATCACTTTGCCAGTTATGACTGGAAACTCTGGAAACTAGAATAGCAATGACTTGAATCTGATTGTCAGCTCTCAAGATCTTCTACTTCTGCTTTGCATCTTTCGGCTGCCATACGTAACGGGGGGAGGAGGGGGGACAAGTATGGGAAGCGAGCTGGAGGTGGTAAAAACTAGCATTGTATAAACTGAGGAGGGGGAGAGAGTACTTTCTTGCTTAGGTTTCTATTTCTTGCTTAGCTTTCTTTTCTCTGCGCAGCTGCAAACCTTTATCAAAGTATGCCAAGGTCAACGGACAGAAACTTCATCACCACCTGAAGATGTCCACATGAAGATATTCACAACTTTTAATTGGAAGAACCATTTGAACTATTGGGGGCGGGAACATTTCCATCACTTTGTATATGTGATTTACGCGCCTATTTCCTCAGATTCAGAATCCTCTTGTTGCTACCATTTCATTTCCAGTAAAAGACATCTTTTCTCTAATTAAAAGAGTCTAAGTATTTCTTTCTTGGATTTTGAATGGAGCACCAGCTGACACTGATAATATAAAGGCAGGAAAGTTAATGTTATTTTTAAAAAATAATTTAATTGATAGTTTTAATTAAAATACTAAAAGACAATATAGACCCCCAAAAAAGGAAAGGAAAGAAAAGGGGTGCAAGAAAAAATCTTAAACAACATGTTAACTCTAAGTAAATCCAATACACATTTTTCCAGTTCAGACAACAGCCAGCCTCCCCCCAAATAATGACATGTCACATTTTAACCCTGATCAAATAAAATAACTTTGTGTTCTTTATTTTTATAGGAAACAATCTTGCTCTTTAATCCATTCAGATGATTGTTGATCCTTGTTTTGAATTTATTCAAAACTTTAAACATCCTGCTTTGTATGTTCAGCAAAAATAAGATATTCTAATTGCTTTCTGGGATTGTCATTTTTATTTCCTTCTTAACTTTTAAAGCCTCATCCATTTCTTAAATGTCTAATGACAAATTCATGTTCATCTTGTTCTCAGATAGACTTTGTTACTTATCTTTTTCTGCAACATCTTTGGGGAACAGACTGTTCCCAGACACAACACAGCTGACGTTACTGATTCAAAATCCTGATGCAGTTCCTCAAAAATGTCTCTAAATGCCATTATAAGTAGCTTGTCTTATTATTCATCCAATATTGAAAAGTTTTTCTTTCCCATGAAAGAAAAAAACATTTTATTTTTAAAAATTAAAGTCTTAATATTCAAAATCCAATTTCCCAACATTTTTTTTTTTGAACTTTTAATCTTTTTAAAAATTTCTATAGCCAAAACATTGTATTGCCTTTTGCTGTTTACTTTAAATTCTTAAAGGTACATCTTCATTTTTCTATAATAAGGATTAAAAGTACTCATCTGTTATTTTCAGCCTGGTCACTTTAAAGATGACCAATTCTAAATTCTTTCAAGTAATTAATGTGCAATTTGTGAAAGGCTTTAGCAAGGGTAGTGCAGTCTCCTCTTCAAAAGCAACCACATGGTGCACAGCTTGGACCATGTTGCATCTTCTTTTTGTCCATAGTCAAAGGAGTAGTGGAGGATGCTGGAAGATGCAACTTCCAGTTTTCAGAATGATGAATGTACCCTCCTATTTATGATGCCATCTCTTGATGTACCTGGTCAATCTCAAATCTGTAATAAGCAAGGTGCTTTAGAAACAAATTGGAAAGAGGGCTGAAAGTTAGGTTTGTTTATCAGGTTTTCTAGTTCAGTTTCAAGACAATACTTGTACAATTGTCATCCCACCCCAATATTCTGATTTTTTTTGTTTGATATAGGACATTGAACATTGGATATATGGGAGCCTGACAAGCTAGGAAGCAATAAAGAATCTATCATGCCCAACCACTCTTTTTCTCACTTTACTATATTTTCTATAGTAGTATCCCACCCCTGAAAGGACCTAATGGCAAAGACTGCAACTACAACAACATCAAAGCAAACCTCTTTAACACATTCTTTGGCTCAGTATTTGTAAACAGCAATGGATCAAGCCTAGTACTTCCTAGTCGAACCACAGACAACTACAATGACCTAATACATATCGATTTTACAGAAGACATTTTTGAAAAAGCACCGCACAATCTAAAACCATCTCTATCTATTGGACCAGACGGAATATGTGCCTACTTCTTAAAAAAGCTATCCACTGCCATAGCCGAACCTCTAAGCATAATCTTTGAAAAATCTTTCAGGACCAGCTCCTTGCTAAAACTATGGTCACAAGCCACGGTCATCCCCATCTTCAAAAAGGGAGACCCAAGCCTAGTTGAAAATTACAGACCAATCTCCTTATGCTGCGTCACCTGTAAAGTCATGGAATCAATTATTAATCAATCCATTATCCTCCACTTAGAGACAAACAACCTACTCTCTAATAAACAATTTGGTTTCAGAAAAAAACTATCCTGCAATCTGCAACTCTTACACTGCAGAAACATATGGACTACACAACTCGATCAGGACAAAGCAATAGACGCAATCTACATAGACTTCTGTAAAGCCTTTGATTCAGTGGTACACAACAAACTACTACTAAAACTAAAATTTAATGGTATCTCTGGACAACTGCATAACTGGGTAGAAGCATTCCTGTCAAACAGACAACTAATGGTCAAAATTGGGAGCGTCCTATCAAATTCTGTACCTGTCAACAGTGGTGTCCCCCAAGGCAGTATTCTAGGACCAACTCTCTTAATCCTCTACATAAATGATCTCTGTGACCATATTAAGAGCAACTGCGTTCTCTTCACTGATGATGTAAAGATATTCAACACCACAGACAATACTGCTACCCTTCAAAAAGACTTTGACCATGTATCAGAATGGTCAATCAAATGGCAACTTCAAATCTCAACAAATAAATGCCCTGTCTTGCACATTGGCAGAAAAAATCAGAAAACAAAATACAAGCTAAATAGTAAAGACCTTGTTGAGGATCCAAACTTTGTCAAGGACCTTGGAGTACTCATCTCTAATGATCTAAGTGCTAGAGCCCACTGTAACTACATAGCCAAAAAGGCATTAAGAGTTATTAATCTAATCCTACGTAGCTTCTTCTTTGGTAATATCACACTACTAACTAGAGCATACAAAACATTTGCTAGACCTATATTTGAATACAGCTCATCAGTCTGGAACCCATATCATGTATCTGATATTAACACAA